TAAAAAAAAAAAAAAAAAAAAGTTGCCAAAACTGTACAGAGCTCACGTGTACCTTCCCTGAGCTTTCTCAAATGATGTCATCTTCTCTAATCATAATGTAGTTATCAAAACCAGAAAGTTGATGTTGGTGTAGAACTAGTTTCTGATGTACAGGCCTTCTTCCCATTTCACCAGTTGCCCCACTAACGTGTCCTCTCTCCTCCAGCGTGGAGGTCCCGGTCTCTGTCTTTCACGGCTGTGAAAACACGACCGTGACCCTTCCGAAGAGGACCGCATTCTCACCGTCAGGGTCTAGTGTATGCACAGTGCTAGGCACATGGAAAGTGTTTGGCAATGATGGCTGTTCTTGTCGGGGAAATAAATCAACCTTCCTTTTGAGGAGTGGGAGGGGAAGGCTTCTTCACATTCTGTTTGCTTTGCTTAGCTTGGCCGACCTTGAAGTGTTTATAAGAAATACCGAGAGCGGCATGCTCAAGAAAGTTGAAAAAGGAGATTTCAAAGGATTGGTGGAGATTATGGGGCACCTTATGGCTCTGAAAGAGCGGCAGAACAGCACTGATGAGATGTTCGAGCCCTTGAAGCACACTATTGAGCTGCTAAAGACCTATGAACAAGAATTGCCAGAAACGGTGTTTAAGCAGCTGGAGGTCAGTGCACAGTTTGTTTCCTGAATAAAAGAAACAGAGGGAAAGCTTCTGGACCGCAGAGTGGGGTGAGGTTGGGGCGAGGTGAATGAGAAACGGGGCTGGGTGAGGACCCAAGGCTCGCGATTTGGAGCCGTCTGTGTAATGGCTGTGCGCTCTCTAGTGCCTTCCGGAAACTCCGTAAATACGAAACGGCACAATGTTGGCGATAGATGGGACAGTTGGCGTGGGTGAAGGGTTTTGGTGGTTTCGTTTTGTTTTGTGTTTTCTTTTTTAGGGATGACTGAAAGTTTTGATTCGGAGAAAGGAAAGCAAGTCTGAGAAGTGTTAAGATGACCTTAAGGGGATGTGGGGCCTGAAAGAAAACAGTCAAGCAGTACTCTGAGGCAATACAGAAAAAGGGCACAGGTTCCTGGGTCAGAGGCTGAGGGCAAGAAGGATATGCCAGAGTCAGAAGGAGATGATAGCCAGGCAAGCAGGCGACCACGGAGATGGGTCAGAACTGTAGGGGACGGGCACGCCGTGCCGTGACGTCACAGTGTGGCATCCTAGCGTTGATAAAGACGTCTGGGCACCTGTCCAGCTTCAGGCCTGCGGGCGATGGGGGGGGGGG